CGTCTCCCCACCTTCACCCTGCGTCTCTCTACCTGAGCCCTGCGTCTCCCCACCTGCTCTGTGTCTCCCCACCTGCGCCCTGTGTCTCCGCACCTATGCCCTGTGTCCACAGCTGCCTGTCTGGTTAGGGTCTTGTTAGAACTTCTGGGGGTGGGGCTAGCCAAGTTCTTTGCATCTTTGTCTTAGGAGGAGGAGGGAGATGGATTTGCATATGGCTGTGGTAGGCCTCCCAACACCCTCCACACTACATCAGATATTAAAGTGAGCTCTTCTTAATAGCTGTTTCAATTTTCTAAAGATTGCTACTCCACGCTTAAAGGAATGGTTTACTTTAAGTTGGGAGGTAGACCTCGTTCAGCTCCGTTAAAACAGCATGAACTTTGTCTTCTCTGCCTTGTCATCAGGGGTCCGAATCCCAGCAAAGTGCTACAGCAGCTGTTGGTGCTCCAGCCAGAACAGCAGCTGAATATATATAAAACCCTGAAGACTCATCTGATTGAGAAAGGGATCCTCCAGCCCACCTTGAAGGTGTAACTGGATCTCGAGAGGGAAGAGCTGCCACACGGGAGCCCTGCAGGGAAGCACTGATGGATGACAGTTTGTGATTGTCCAGAAAAACGGTTGCAAATGTAATAGAAATTTTTACAGACATGAATGTTTCTCTCTGAAATTACTGTGAATATTTAACACACACTTACTTGATCTAAGTTATGAGATAAGTAGCAAATCGCCAGCAGAATATCTTGTACTTTTTCTAAAGTGTATTTTCTGATGTGAACTTCCTTCCTCTTAATTGCTAGATTTCGTGATTTAAAAGACTTGTGTTTTAAAGAGTCAAGCCCTATAAAATGAATAAGTTGAGGATGTCTTAAAATTGCACCTGGCAGTGTGCCCTTTTGCACAAATATTTACTTTTGTACTTGGAGCAGGCTCTTAATTTTAGCAAAATGTTTTATGCAAGGCACAGCAGGAAGTGGGTTCTCCTGAACTTCCTCCTCACATTATCTGAAGTATTTTCTAAAGGGCTTAGTCAGATCAAAAAAAACAAAAAAAGACTGTCCACTTTTCAAAGCAGTAATCATTTGCCAGGGGAAAACATTCTGTTTTAGGTAGGTTCAAAGTATAGGAGATACTGTCCTCAGGGTACAGAGGAAAAGAAAAAAAATCAGGAGAGGGAACTTGAAATTTCTGCAATTATTGGTTTGTTAGACAGAGCAGGGATCAAATTCTACTTCTGATAAAACTGTGTGAAAAAACACAACCTCGCAAAACTCGTCAGGAGAAACAGAGTTCTGCCATGAAGTCTACTGTGGACAAGTCCTGCTTGGATCTCCACAGAGGACAGGAGCCCAGGAGGCAGCCTGGACAGGGACATGTGGCCTGGTCTCCTTTCCTTGTTCTCCCTGAACCAGCTTCAGAAGTTCTGCAGCCGCCAGCACAGATGGGGGAGCCAGCGAGTGGAGGGGGGTGTCTAAAGCACAGTGGGGAATGCTGGACCAAGAGAGTCTGGCCCTTGTCCCTGCTGCCTCCTCTGGTCCTCGGGGCAGTGCCCTGGGGACTCACTGAGCAAGAAGGAAGACCCGCCTGGAGACCAGCTGCCAGCTCATCTTTGTCCTAATTGCTCTTTTGCATCATGTCACAAATGTGAGGACATCAGCTGATGATTTTTTTCTTCTAAGAATAGAAATCAAGCAGAAGTGATTCCTACCGAGAAAAAAAAAAAGCACACAAATGCCAAACCTTTCCTTTGGTAGACTAGACACTGTCACCAGATGAGAGGAAATTTCTCATCAGTGGACGTATGAGCTGCTGCTGCTGCTGCCGCCACCACGCGATCTCCACAGCCACATCTACGTCGCACTGTCCAGTGCTTCTGGTTAAATGTTCAGAGGGAGAAATAGCTCTAATTATAAAGAGTATTTTGCTAATGAAAAGAGTAAATATTTTTGTTTAAATCAGCAACAAATTTCAGTTATTTTATGCTTCCTTCTGGCTATGACACCTAAAACAAAAGGCTGCAGGGCCCCCTGGTCCGCAGGTGGGTTCCCCCCTCGGCCTTGGCCTGTGTGCTAGGTGGCCAGAGCAGACGTGGGTGCGCTCGGCACCCAGAGTCTCATTTCCTGGGCTGGCGTGCATTCGGCTGGCTCGTCTCCCGGGACGGGCTCAGCGAGTTTCACACTCTTCCCTAAAAGTCCAGCACCAGCCCTGGAAGTGTTATTCTAGGAGGAGATGAGCACCCTGAAAATCGGGCTGCCTCCAAGTGAATTTTCAACACCTCACATTTTTTATTTGCACATGGACAGCTTCGAATTTTGATCATAAAATAATTTAGGATAGCAGAGTTTAAAAAAATTAAATGAAAATTTTGTGATAGGAACTTAGCATTAAAACCTTGGCAGTCTGCACAAGGAAGAACTCCTTGGAGACTCACGGATCCCTCTACGTTCTTATTCAGAGTAATGGGTGAGGCAATGAGATCCAGAATTATAAGAGAGCATTACTAAAGACGTGTATTACAAAATCAATATTATTAAAAACAAGATATTGGGGTCACCGTAACAGGTTTTCTCAAATACACTTTTAGAGGTGGGTGTACATTACTCTAGATGTAAAAAAATAAATTCTTAATTTTAACAGAGCTCTAAAATTGACCTTTTTAGCATACCTTTTTATAGCATGTATATTAAAATAGAATATATTTTAGCAAAAGATAGCCATATAATCCTGACTTTGATCATTTTTATATTTGCACTGAGAGGGCTTAAATCCCAGTTAGCAGCATGGTGGTGAAAAATGAAATCCCAGGCTCTTCTTTCCCAGCAGTGACTGATTGTTCCAAACGGACTGGTTTGGGAGGCTCCCTGAAAGCACTGACCTCCTGGCCTGTGGGATTGGGACAGCTCCCTGCTTTCCCTGTGGTGTTGGGCACACATTTACTCTTGGTGAAGAAGAGGACCACACACACGCTCTTTTCTCATTCGTGGTATCTCTCCATTTGCGCTTTGTTTAGAGCAAAGATAGAGACACCTTGCTCACCAAAGGAAAAGTGGGGACGGTTACTATAGACTGTGTGTGGGTGATGGTTCACGGTGTGTGTTCCGTGCTCTGACTCTTACCAAAACTGAGATAGGAAAATAAAATGAAAACAAATCACATTTTGACTTTTTTGTGCCATTTTCTCATGGGATAAGATACCTTAATTCATTCATTCAAAATAAAACATTGTCCACTGTTTCAAACTGAGTGAGTCCCCTTTGACCTCTAGAGTTCTCTTGGTCTGTCTTGCCCTGGGACAGCTCCACATATACGAGCCAGCGGCAGGTGGGGGCGGGGTGGGGAGAGCAGAGCAGCCGAGGCCAGTCCCCACTAACTCCTGCATGCCCCAGTTTTCCAGGCGTAAATGCTTTCCACGTTGCTGTATGTCCTTGTCCCATGGCCAGAGTGCTGAAAGATCAGTTTTATGCAGTGTTATAGATGCTTTTTAGATTTGCCACCCTCTACTCAACCATCACTGGAAGTCCCACCTTGACAATTCTGTTTTATAGCAGAAAGAGAAGGGACAGCTCCTAGTCTATGACAACCTCAGCTGAGGAGGGGCAATGACCAAGCACATACACTAATATTAAAAAATATAACCAGGGCCAAAAAAACTTCATGGGAGTTCTCAGTAAGAGCCTCCCTGCAGTGAGGAAGCTCACTCATACCCCACGGCTCTAGCTCCCAAGAAGGCAGAAGCTTCCTGCTAACTGTTGGGCTTCCATCCTTTTCACAAAAGGTAGCACTTATTGTTCCCCTGAAAAGGTGATTCTTTAAATTATAACGTACACTGCTAAGATGATTGATTCCTGCTATCCCCCAGGACCTCAGTCCTTCAGTAAACAATGGTTAGTGTGTTCACTTAGTGTGACTGTGGAACTGCATTGTAACAAGACATCATCATCTCAGTACCTGAAATAATCCCCCCTGCCCTTAAAAGAAATTGCAGCTGAGCTGGGGAGACATTGTAGAAGGGGCTTTGGTTCTGGTCTACTCAGGAAGGCCCCTGACCTTGGCTGCAGCTGGGGCAGGAGTGAGGAGAGGTGGTGGGGAGGCCCAGACTTCGGTGCATCAGAGCTGCTGGGACAGCTTGTCACTGTCCCCTGCTTCCTTAACAGGTACTGTCCCTCCCAGATATACTGGGAAGTGGCCTGTGCCCTAATTAAAGATGCTTCCATTTTGATGAGATTTTGAAGGTGACACAAAGAGGGAGAGTGGCTGGTCGGTGCTGTTCCTGAGAACACGAACTCTTTGCTGGTGGGAAAGTAAAGCGATGCAAGGGTTTTGGAAAACTGTGTGACGGCACCTCCGGAATGTAAAACACAGTCACCTCATTATCCAGCAGTCCCCCTCTCTGATACCACTAGGAAAAACCCAGATTGTTTTTTCCCCTCTTCTGTAACTCAGTGCAAAAATCATAAACACAGATGTCTGTGACCAAATGTAGGGGGGTGGATCTCGCCCCACCACGAAATGAGCAGTTGGTTCTGGAGCAGACACCACTGCAGTTCTGACACTACCTGGAGATAGTGTCAGAGGCCACAGGTGGGGCTCAGTCCCTAAAACTAGCTCCTCTTCAGATGCCAGTTGCAAGTCCTGGCCTGTGGAACTTCTGACCGACAGGGTTTCAAGTTGGGGTTACAATGACCTCATGTTTGGGTTTTATTAATTTGCTAGAGTGGCTCACAGACTCAGGGAAACACCTTTACCAATTTATTATAAAGGACAAAGGATACAGATGAAGAGATGCACAGGGCGAGGCCTGTGGGAAGGGGCTCAGAGCTTCCGTGCCGTCCCCAGGAGCCTCCTGGTGTCCGGCTAAATGGACGCTATCTGGACCCTGTCCTGTTGGGCCTTTTATGGAGGCTTCATTGGATAGACGTGATTGACAACTGTGTACAAATGTGATTGGATAAAAAGAGTGTGATCTAAACCCCAAAAGACTTGTCCAGATTCTTTTTGGGTTCTTCATGTAACATTCCTTTTTCCAGGGGCTGGGGCAGGACGCCCTCTGGAATGAGAGGCTGGGATGTTTGCAGGCAGAGGGCACGGCCAGGGCTTGGTCCCGATTTTGGAAGCAGTGAGTCTGGGGCAAAGAGGTGGGGGCCCTGCAGGGTGTGAGGTGGGGGCTGGGACCCTCCAGCAAGGCAGCAGGCCCCCTGTCGCTGCTTTTACAGAGTCAACTGTGAGAGGCAAAGCCAGGTGGGTTGAGTCACAGCATCCTGTCCTCACAGTAAGGCTGGGGACGGTGTTAAGGAGAATTCCATTTAGTGTATCACAGCAAATACAAAGTCTTCACAGGAGTATCCCCATTTAAAGGAGTCATTATAATATGGCACACAGACACAGCCATAACAAAGAATGAAACTTTGCCATCTACAGCAAACAACTGGGGTAGAACTGGAGAGCATTATGTTTAAGTGAAATAAAACTCAGAAAGACAAGTATCACATGTTCTCACTCCTATGTGGGAGCTAACCATTAAAACAATGGATGTCATGGAGATAGAGACTGGAATGGTGGTTTCCAGACAGGAAAGGTAGTGGGGAGGGTAGGGGATAAAATGGGAATGGTTAATGGGTGCCCAAATACATATGATAGAACGAACAATATTTGATAACACAACAAAATGATTATAATTAACAGCAAGTTAGGGCATACTTTACTGAAAAAGTGGAATGGGAGTGTTCCTAATGCAAAGGAATGATAAGTGGCCCGAGGTGAGGGATACCCCAATTTTAACCTGATTTCGTTATTACACCTTATATGGCTGTATCAAAACACCATATCTAACCTATACATATACACAAATATTATGTACTCATAATTAAAAATGAAAAAAAATTAAAATGGGGGAAGAGGAAAATCATGGCAAGCCATTCAAACAACAGAAACTGGTGGGCAAGAAGGCGGGGAAGGAAGTTTGCAAGAACCCTGCCGGGAAACAACCCAGGGAGTAGAAGAGACTATCCTGGGAAGGCTTTGTATCATACAGTAACTCACTGTGAAATCGGTAAAGAATCAAAGATGAGATGATGAAATAACAGGATGATATGAAAATAGAGACTGTAGAGCTAAAACTAGGGAGAATTGTACTGAATTAGAAACGGTCAAGAATAGAATACGTTTGCTGAAAATTCAATGACAGTTTGCAGAAGGCAAACTTCTTGTTTATAGGCTGGAAAGTTCTTAGAGAGGGTAGTTATGTCATGTTTGTGTAGCCCTCAGATGCAGCTGAACGCAGCAACTGCTCCAAGGAAACACATCTGCATTTGCAGGTGGAAACTAGCACCCCAGGCGCAGGCCAGCGCTGCTTCAGTAGAACGGTTCCTTCCTCTCGGCCAGCTCAGCCAGACTGAAGGATTTTTACGTTTCGTAACCAGAGACTGCCTAGTTGACCTTTGCTCCATGGTTTATTTTTCTAGAGTCAGTTTCTAAAGGAGTGGCTTCCTTTTATGAACAGATACCATGTTTGTAGGATAGAGTTTTCTTTTGAAATTTATAGTAGTGCTTGAGGGCAGGATCATAACAAGTAGTTTTTCTTTTAAACAACTCTGCCCTCTGCACTAAAAAGCAGCTTGCATGACAGCTAAAGGCCAAGGCTGAAGTTCTGATGCTTTGTCTTCTTGGACATGGTTACAAATGGGTAGTGTTGGGACAGCTTGCTCAGTACGCCTGCACTGCAGGCACCTGAAGGACAGAACGCAAACCAGGGAGTCAGCCTGGCAGCAGGGCGGTGGATTCTACTTAAGGAGCAGCCCTGCTTTGGGAACACCAAGCACCACTGCGGCCCTTCCCTCTAGGGTTCAATGTGGATTTGAGCGTGATGACTTCTCCAGTTCTCCCTGCTCCGACATCCTGCCTCCCCGTCCTTGGCTTCACTTAGCATTCAGAAGATGCTGTAGGGTGTCCTCCCTTTTCTGTTTTGTTTCCAGATTCACACTATAATGTATTGAAACATGCTTGTAAGCACTACCTTTTCTCTACGTATCGCAGGGTCTGATCCTCACAGCAATTCTCTGTGGACAGATATAATCAAAATTTCCATATAAAGAAACTCAGACATGGAGAGATGAAATCATGTCCCCAAAACACACAGTGAGTGGTAGGACGAGGACTCGAGACCCCAGGTTGACTCTCCTCACTGGAGTTAGCGCTTGTCAGAACTGTACCCATTGCTAACAGAGTGGTCTGACAGTTTTTTTACATTAGAAATTTAGAGTCCTCGCTGGAATAATAACGAGACTTAAGTCCTTACTAGCAGCCTGAGTCTGAGATGGGTGTGCCTTGTTAGTTTAGGGAGTGTCGCCTTCGGCACCTTCTCCTTGGACCACGGTTCTCCCAGTCTGGTTTCCACAGCCTAGGGGGTCCTGAGACCCTTTCAGAGCATCTCCAAGTTTAATTTTATCATACTACTGAAATGTTATTTGCCTTTTTCATTGCACTGATATTTTCACTGAGGTGAAATGCAAGGATGGGAAAAACTATTGGAACCTTAGTATGAATTAAGACAGTGGCACCAAACTACTGGCAATAGGGATCATACTTTTGGCACCACGTGCAGAAAGTAAAGTGCTTGTGTGATCTAAGAATACCCTTGGAGAAGGAGTAAAAATGATTACTTTTAGTAAATCTTGACCTGTAAGCAGTGCGTCACAGCACGAGATGCGTCCACCCGCACACTGCAGTCCGGCAGTTGTCTGGGACAGAAGCTCCATGTGGTGACCGTGAGCTGAACTAGCTGCTTTTCTCCTAGGACACCGTGGCAGCTCGAAGAGCAACTGACAAATTAACAATTGAGCCTGTCACTTCAGAGAAACCAGCAGACTCTATATTTATTGACAATGATAGGATTTTAGGTTTTAAGCAAAAATTTTGAAATCTTGCATCAGCCACCATGACTTAAAGTTTCCTGAGACTGCGGGTGGTATTTTAATGTGTATGATGATGCGAGTTTTTTGACCTCATGCTGCATAGTCAACCGATTTGATGTAGTAATCAATCTTTAAGAAATAAGCTATTAAACTTAAAACTATCACTTTTAAGAATCAATTATCTTAAAAAGCTGTCACATCTTCTTCTTCCTTTTCTCAAGTACGTATCTGGATTTTCTTCAGATGCTTCAACCAAAGCTGAGTACCACAGCAGGCTGACTGCGGGGGCAGCTGAGAATCCATCTGTCTTCTATTAAGCCAGACAGAAGAATTTTTGGGGGGTTTTGGAAAGTTTTTGTTTGTTTGTTTTTGAGACAAGAGTCTCACCCTGTTGACCAGGCGTCATCATAGCTTGCAACTCCAACTCCTGCCTCAGCCTCTGCAGTAGCTGGGACTATAGGCTTGCACCACCATGCCCAGCTAGTTTTTCTACTTTTTAGCAGAGACGGGGTCTTGCTCTTGCTCAGCCTGGTCTTAAACTCCTGAGGTCAAGTGATCCTCCCACCTTGGCTTCCCAGAGTGCTAGGATGACTGGTGTGAGCCACTGTGTCCAGCCTGGAAAGTTTTTAATAGAAATATGCACTTTTTTAATATATCATGGTCTTAGCATTATTTTAAAATGAGTTCTATATACCATATATACATATATAAAACTCAGTTTTAATTTGTAATACAATAACTAAGCAAAATCAATTTGGGGTCTTTGAAACTCTGAAGGATCAAAATGTCCTAGGACCAGAAGTTTAAAGCAGCACAGCTTAGACCCTCCCATCTTCACAGGTAGGTGTTAAAATGGGAAAACCTGATGCAAAGAGAAGGCTGGAACGAGAGGCTTCCTGAATGCCCACACTGTTACAGCTGCTGCTTCAGCTCTCACGCCCATTCAGCGCTCTCCAAACACCGTGCATGTCCGGGTATGGTAGTCTGGCTTAGTGCCCACTCCAGCAAGTCAAAAGAAACCACAAAAAAGAGGCTTGCAGTGGGTCGGGGGAAGGAGTGGTCATAAAGCAGAGACTGAACTGGTGTTGGCCACTTCCATCTGAAGCCTTCTGAATGCTGTGGCCCTTTAATACAGTTCACGACCCACAAGATGAGAACCGCTGATCTAAAGTGAGGCATGGAGATGGAATTCTGTAGATGATGAGATGCAAATGGCAGAAAGGGACGTACTGAACATCACGGGCATACTGGCTCTTTTAGCCTCTGGATTTCTGCACTGCGATCCTTCTCAAGGGCGTTACAGCTCTGAGCAACAGCACAGTAAAGAATGGAACTGCCCCGGGGTTTTCTCTTACCATTAATTTACTTTTAGAGAAATTGCTACTGTTCTGAAAGTTCTTTAACTTCTGCCTAAAGTGGAGCTGCACTGAGGTAGAATCTGCAATAAGCACAATATTCTCAGATTTGGGAATCTGCTGTTCAAGCTTAAAATGAGTTTACTATATGTAGACAGAGGAAAACTGAAATCAAAACAGCCTAAATAAACTTAAAAAGTGTTTTCTATACCCTCTTTTGGCTATTCTAAAACCAAGTAAGTTTAAAAACAATCAAATAAGCTACTACTAACAAAAACGGATCTGTGTGCTCTCAGGCCCTCAGACTGAAGGCTGAGCTGGAAGGAGCAGTTTCCAGCGGCTGCTGCACTTCCAGGACTGCAGGGTGCTAGAGCAGTCCTGACGGGACTGGAGTTGAGTGGGAGACACGTGTGTGTGTGCACATGTACACACACACACACACACACACACACACACACACAGTATGCTCCTTTTCACATGATGGGTTGGGAATAAGGCTCAGAAAAATGAGCAAAGGCAATGTGGACAGGCCTTCCCTGTGCATCCAAATTTGAGGGTCATCTCCCTCAGAAGCCACTTGTCCCTACTGTCACCTGCACAACTGGGGAGCTCAGGATGTAGGAAGCCTGGTGTGTTAGAATATTCAGCTGGAATTGGAACAGGAACCCTAGAGGCCAACATCTCTGCAATCTTAAGTAGGTGCTTCTAAAAGAAATATTCACAGCTAGAAAAGAACTACACAAACTTTAGGAAATTATTCAATCTCGGTTTTTGTTTTTTTCTTCCCTAAAGAACTGACTTAAAAACAACTTTTCTTTTTTTCTTTTCTTTTTTTTTGGGGGGGTGGTAAATAGTAGGTATTTATTTGAAATGAAAAAAAAATTACTTAAGTACCTGGACTATTGCGTTTAATCATGTATTGTAATTGTGTTACTCTACCTTTTTGCATTAGAGACAGATATACAATGAACATTCAGATTCACAGATTGCACACTAGATAGTAATTCTTCAGGCCTTTTACATAACCACCAAGAAACAGATATTGGATTCTGCAGTATAGTACAAAAGTCCACAATCAATCCAGTCTTAGCCAGTATCTTCAATTTACTTCTTTGCTGTACAAATAATTGGCCAATACTAGGGCTTACAAGTTAATAACAGGACAAAAATATACATTGCACTGACACAAAAAGTCAGCTGTGTTAATAGTCATGCAACAAGTAACCGAACTTGCTGAAATTAAAAATACTTTCTAAAAACAGTTTTTAACGGCATAAATATTTTATACACAGTTCATTTACCAAAACAAAATGTATTTAAATGATACAAAGCAAAAATAAGTTTCTACCAACTTTATACATAAGAAAGTGCAAAATAACTTATCTAGAGTGTTTCGCTATTATCCAGACGGATGGCTGCTATGGGCAGCTGCTCTTTTCTTCAGAAGCATGACATTACAGTTGCACGCTACACACAGATGTTAGGATACGTGGATGAAAAGAATGGATGGATGGACAGATGGACGGGTGGATGGACAAGCTACAAAGATCAGGCAGGAGCCCAGTGAGGTACTCTGAGAGAAAGAATATAGACCACAGAAAGGCGGGTGCACATGTTGAGAATATGTTAGTAAATAAATTTACACGGAACACAGAAAGATATCCATACGTTTAGTTTATGGATGTATCTATGAGTGAGTCTGTGATTTTTGCTTTAGAAGCAAAACCACCCCCCCCCCCAAAATAAACCCAAAAAACAAACCTGATTGAACAAAACAGTTGCCCACAGCACCAGCTGCCAGAGGAAATACTATCATGAGGGTTTTGGCTTCCATCTTCTAGTTATGGAAGTTGTGTCGGAAAGTTTAAAAGTGTTTATCCCATATAATTTCATATTACAAAGAGGAATAACCTTTAACTTAACTACATACACACATTCATATGTTCAAGTCTTAAAAACACCTCTGCCATGGGGTAGGGGGTGAACATGGCTCATGGACAAAAGGAGGACGCGTCTTTTAAAAAGTGTAGAATAACACTGCTACAAGTCATCCAAAGGGCCCGGCGGGGCAGAGCCCCAGGTACTGACAGCACGATTTCTGCAGCTGTTGGACATCAGCATTATTTATTAGAATTGAAGTAAGTTGGTGTGGGGAAAGAGGGATATGGAGGGGAGTAAGACACAGAAAGGAAAACAGAACACAGCTTTTCTTCAAGTTAAAAGTATTAATGCCAATAATCCTTTTATTAACAAGTATATTTGAACTTTTAGAAATGGAAGTGTTTTAATCAATTTTGATATGTAATCATAAATAGACTGTAGGCTCAAACCTAGGTAAATAAAGATTTAAATTTAGTAAGCATAAGGCACTAAAGCAGCCTTTACATTTTCTCTTGGAGACCTAGTTATCAGGAAGAACAAATTTGTTCTTAAGCTGGTTTCAGCCCGTTAGGTACAAGATCACTATTGTACCAGACGCCTGTTTTTGAATGCATGTGCATATATGTGCATTTTAGTGCATAATGTGCCTCTCACCAGGGCCTAAAGATGAAAAGTTGGAAAAGCCAAAGCCACTGTCCTTTGTATGACACCTCCGTGAAGGTGTGAAGGCCTGTCCTTCCCTTCTTGGGCCATTAATGATCCTACATTTTTCAAATTACAGAGCTTTTAGAATGGTTCATAATATTATCACTAAGTATCTGAAAATGTTAAAATCTAGATTAACTGTTTCATTTGTTTTTTTATATATATATATATTATATATTTGTACATAACACACATTTAAAAAAATCCCACCACCAAAGCTATTTTCTGTAAACTAAACTTATCCCTTAGCCCTCCAGCTTTAACCCCCCTGGATTTGTGTGTTCTGTATCCAACTAGTAGAACAAATTAAATAACTAAATATTAAAATACTGTAATTATATTCATAGCAAAAACAAAAAAATAGACATTGATACAGTATAAATCTCACTGTTTTCAGGTAGATGACATTAAGTGGTAAAGGTTAACTTTAAGCAGTTCTGACATGATCCAGTTTTACAACGAAGTTTATATGTTAATTCTGTACACTTTTTTCTTCTTTTTTTAATTTAACCCTTTTTTTGAAATTAAGATATAGTAGAACATCAGTGTCACCAAAGACACATACTTATTATGTTCTATGCAAGAGAAGCTAATTTGGGGTTACATGCAAATATATTTCTCATTAGTAGAGGCAGGGCTGTTTTCTGCGCTACACGGGTCACCTGACCATCTTTACGCAATGCTAACAAGGTCTGCTCTGACCAATAGCAGTCCACATACAAATTTAAAAGGGGCCTTGTTACATAAGAACAACACTGAGGTGGTGCGTAGCCAGGTCCAAGCCACCCAAGTCCTGCCGGGTTACCTTACGCTGGGGGCTCCTATTCTCCCACACTGCTCTCTAGAGAAGGTCCACGTTATTTTGGTTACTAGCCTAGCTGAAGTGGAGATACTGTGGGCAACTCAAAAGAAACGACATCAGGCACACAGGCTGGGGGTGAAAGGAAAAAAAAGACCACAGGTAATGTCTCTGAGGATTTTTAAAAAACATATTTATAATTAATTGGTAGGTGAGGGATGGCAGATAAAACCATAGTAGTTCATTGAGTTAGTTGGTTTAGTTTGAAATTTCATGTTACAGGCAGATAAGTCCTTATTTAGAAAAAAAGGCCTTTATACCTATTTACAATATATATATATAGTTACTTGCAAAGAAGTCAGATTTACAACCATTTTCTAAAAGCCTTTTTTGGTTGTTGTTTTTCCAAATAAGGATGAGTAGCTCTATAAAAATGAGATGCAAGAAAAGACAGTTAATAAGTGAGGATTTTTCTCTTGGAGACAGCCACGTTGTCAGGGAGAACTGGGTATTGGAAATGTTGCTCCTGGGAACCACCTCCTGGCCTTCTCGCGCGGTTCACCTGAATAGCATCTGCCCCTTACTGGACTCTACACCCGTTTTATTCAATGATCCCTTTGAATTCAACGCTTCAGACACACGGTATGAAGAGCTGTGTAAACGGAGATTGTTTCCAATGCCTTCCGCACTGTGACAGGGGAGTCGGGAAGAGGCCTACAGAGCAGGGTCTTCAATCAGCCTGCTGAGTCTTCAACAATTTCGAGGCCCGTCTTCTGAACCCCTCTCATGCTGTAAGTTATAATAACAGTTCTGACAAACACGCACTGGGGATGAGATTTTCAAGCGTTTGATTTCAGATTGAAATCGACTGCACCTAAAGGAAAAGAAAAACCAATAATTAGTTACAGGTCTTCCCAGAACTCTGGGGCCAGAAACGCTGAGAACAGGATGGAAAGCTGTGAGTGTAACGCCTTGCAAGGGCTGGGACCAAGGACTAACAGGATTACTGTATTCTTTTAATTTATGAAGAAAAGCAGTATTGAGCCAGGGAAGCGATTTCTTTGACCGAAGACAATTAAAAAAACAGAATACAGAACACAGTTAAGATTTTCTAAGACATGCTCGGGCGCAGTGGCTCACATCTGTAGTCCCAGCTACTTGGGAGCCTGAGGCAAGAGAATTGCTTGTGCCCAAGAGTTTGAGGTTGAGGTGAGTTATGATGCCACAGCACTCTACTGAGGGCAACAAAGTGAGACTCTGTCTTAAAAAAAACAAACAAAAAAACCCCAAGATTTTCTAAGACAATGAAGTCAGTGGGTCTGCAGAGCTGAGTGTGAGGCCATTTCCCCTGCATAGAACTGGGTCTCACGGCCTATAAACTTGGCACGTATGTTAATGTCTTTACTTGGAGGTTGACTTTGGCTATTAGAAGACTCACTGCCTGTTTGAAAAGTTTGATCACTATTAAATTTCTTTGTGCTTTTTAACATTTTGATTAATATACTCTCCAATTATTTTTAAAGTTAATTTATCTGGTTTTTATTTCAGATTAATGTAAGGGTACATATAATTAGGTTACACTGTGTTTGTTAGATAAAGTTTAAGTTGAGTCAACTGTTTCTTAAACAGGTAGTTTGGCATTTTTTATTCTGGTCCAAATGCTCTCATTTCATTTTTATTTTTGGAGACAGGGTCCCACTCTGTGACCAACCTGGTGTGGAGTGGTTCCACCACAGCTCATGGTAACCTTGAACTCGGGTTCAAGCCTCAGCCTCCTGAGTAACTAGAATTATAGGTGTATACTTAGCATGCCCAGGTAATTTCTTATTTATTTATTTTTGGCCAGGGCTGGGTTTGGCCACCTCTGGCTTATGGGGCCGATGCCTTACTCCGTTGAGCCACAGGCGCTGCCCTAATTTCTTATTTTTAAAATTTTTTTGTAGAGATAGGATCTTGCTATGTTGCCCAGGCTGATTTCAAACTCCTAGCTTCCAGTGATTCTCCAACCTCAACCTCTCAAAATGCCATGATTATAGGCATGAGCCAGGACACCTAGCCTCATTTCCTATTTATGTTGGTAGAATTGCTTGAAGTAGACTATATTTAAGAGATGTTCAAATTATTTGAAAGTATTCAAGGGGCCTAAATCTGCAATAAAGTAGGGTGTGGCATTATATCACTTTAAGCTTGAATTTTCATAAGACTGAAATGGTGATTTACATTTAATGCACCAATCTACCAGGAAATGTGTCTAAAGAATAAATTAAGTGCTACAAGCTTATGGGGTTTAAAGGACAGTTACAGGACCTGCGTAACCTCAGGAGGGTCGACAGCTCTGAACCACACACTGGCTGGACAGTGTCCACACACTGGTGGACAGCGCTTCCGTCCATGCTGGCTTCACCTGCAGGATCACTGCTCAGTGTTGTCCACATTTGCTACTAGTGGAAATTTAAAGAATCACTTGCACTTAAACAATATTTTTAAAATTAAACACTACAAAGAAAGGACGTGTGCCAGTAGGCAAACTGGGGTGATGACTTCCAGAAATGACTCAGTTTCGAGGTTTTATAGAGCAGACCTTGCAAAGCACAAAGAGATAAGACAGGGTCCTCTGCTGACCTCACATAAGTTCCCAAGAGGAACGGTCAGCAGCATCCTCATCTTGAATCAGACTGCCCAGGAGAGAAGACTTAAGAAAAACCCCCCAAAATCCCAACACCTTTTGCAGAACACCTGTTTCGCCAGTCTCGGTCCTTGCCACTTTCCTCACGTACATATCTCATTTCATTCTCTCCACACTCCTATGAGGAGAGTTCTGATAATCCACATTTTCAGGTGAACAAACTGCAGCTGACAGAGGTTCAGTGACTTGCCGGAGGCGACAAGTCAGTGTTTCATCAGTGCAAACCCACAGCCCACCTCCTTACCAATAAACCCATCCTGCCTACAAAGCCTGGGAACTGCTCCAAAGCAAGTACTCTGGAGTAAGGCCGCATGAGCTCCAAAGCACACGACCAACGGCTCTCGCTCTTCAGCACTCTTCGCATGTACCTGGGAGCAGAGGCGACATCCATGCCAAGGGTGACGGGACAGCTGCTGGCTTTCCACAGGGGGAAGTACCCCCAAATAAATTCTAAATCAATTAAAGGCCTGAACTGCAAAATACAATTTTGAAACTTTTCAAAGATATTAAATAAGGTCATTTTTGTGATCTTAGGACAGGGAAAGAATTCTTAAGGTACAAAACAGCAAAAATGATAAAGAGTAATAAATGTGACTGCATCAAATTTGAAAACTTGCGTGACAGAAAAAACACATGCCAAGTTAAAACCTAAGCCATAGTGTGGCAGAGAGAATCTGAGAGACGTATAAAAGACAGGGAGTGGAGCCTGGATATATGAAGAAGTCTCCAGGAAAAGGGAAAAGACGACAGGCAAAACTAAAGGGAAAACGGGCCACGTTACCCCAGAGGAGATCCAAGTAGGTAAAAGCTGTTCAAGCTCACCAGCAGCGCACATTAAGACCACAAAGCACCATTTCATAGCTATCAGATTGGCAAAAGTGAAAAGGTTTGGCAATACCGAGCATGATAAAGAATTTGAAGACCTTTCACATCCTGTTGGAAGTAGGGTAAACTACCACTACGGTTTTGGAGAGTAATTTGGCAAGAACCAGTTAAAGTCAAGAATAAGTCTATGTTTCACCAATTCCATTCTGCCTCCTCTAGAGAAACTCCAGCTTGTGTATGAGAAGGGCACAGATAAGGGTGTGCACTGCAGCATTGTTCTAGTATTAATAACATAAGGGAAAAACACTTAAGATGTCACCAAAAGGGAAATAAATTTGGATATAGTCATATAGTAAGATAACTAATACTACTTAAAAATGAACGTACCAGAAGAACAGTTACCTAAATGAATGGATTTCAAAAACAATGTTGAGTAAAAAAGTTCTAGAAGTGTGCGGACATGTGCTACGTAAAGTGGAAAAGGAAAGCTGAGGAACACACAGCACCATGGACCGTTTACAGAGGGACACCGGCTCACGCAGCGAGAAGGCTGGAGCAGGTGCGGCGGGCGGAGGGTGCCGGAGGGCCTACAGTGCATGTCCAGTGTCCTCTGCAGCGACTGGGAAATCTCTACAGGAAACAGATGAAATCCTTGCACCTGCATGTTCTGAGTCATGAGTGACCACGTGTTTGGGGTGATTATTTCTGTACTTTTTAATAGGACAGAAATAGTTCATATTTGTAGGAACAGGAAAGAACAGAGAGAAGAGTGAAGACCGGTCTAAACTGACACAGCATTTCATAACGGGGACCAGAATCAGAACCTGCGTGCAGGACATAGTTAACATTCCAAGAACTTAATCTACGGAAACTCAAAAAACATATATCTCATCTTACTTCTGGCAGAAGAGCTGACCACAGTTCCTGCAATGGTGTCGTCTTTCTGTGAGTGAAAACCTCACTGAGCAGCCTGAACAGCTGTCACCTCCTTCATCCTTCACCCAGTGGTCAGCCGCCGAACGCCCGGGCTGGTCACTCACAGACCAGCTGAAAACTCGGCCTCGACTGTCACCAACAAGGATCCTGCTGTGGTCCCTGAAGGAAACAGGATGGAGGCGGTCAGTGTGTGCAAGTGCTCTGCTGCGATGTGCACAGGAGGCCCTCTGACGCTCAGCGGGTGTGGGTGACAAGGGGACAGGCAGTATGGATAAAGAACTGGAGCTGAGCCAGAACTTACACTTCCAGCTCAACTTCCTTGGGATCAAACCTTGCTCCTTCAAGAACAGAGAGGGCAATTTTTGTTTTTTAAATTCCGAATTAAAATCTATTTGGTGTCAGGTTTCTTCCTTAGATTTATCTCTTTCGCACGAATGGAAAATGCAGATGAAATCTATTTCTCCCAAAGACTGGACTGGGGTGTGTGGCCCATGGCTAAGAAAATGACTCAGATGGGAAGAGGAGATGGAACAAGCTTGACACTTACTTGGAGATGCCCAAGGCGGTAACCTCGGCGGGGTGTGCGTTGTCCTTCCGATCAAAGGCGGTGTGCATAGTCAGCTTGCTTCTGAACACCAGCTGCCGTTCCCACCGGTAGCCTGGAGTGGAGAAGTGGAGGATGTGACATCCTAAATCAAGCACAGCCAGCAGAGGGTAGATGTACCTTAAGATGGTGGCCTTGGAAACGAGGACACTTCAACATATGGTTACAGCAGCTTGTGCAATTCTGCTGCCTTAGCTGCAGGTAAAGCAATTTAGCTTAACATTAATTATTGGCCAAATTGGAGAATGTCTCACTGGAAAAGAATCTAAAGAAAAAGAGAAATCTTCAATGTGAGAAGATGCTTGAAATTTCTCCTCTTGGGGACCTTGCCTCTCATGCTGTTCTGGACAAAGGTACTTGCACCTACAGCTTTGTTTATTAATCAATAACTTGCTATTTTCAAAAACCTTCATGATTTCACAATTTGTAAATAAATCCAGTTTTGGTTTGTGGTGTTTTTTTTTTTTTAAGAAAATGCCCAGCATGTTGCAAACATCATTAGAGGATAGACTCTCTAAGGCCACCTTACATGAGAAGACCCCTTCACGTATGCTGGGCCAGGTCACAGAGCACTTTGGAGATAGTCCCCCATGCGTCTCAACCCCTGACCCCTCATACCACTTCCAAGGAGCAGGAAATAGACATGAGACTTCAATTTACCTGGTTTCAATCTGCTGTAATTCCTCACTTCAATGGGATTGGGGTGGGGGTGGTTAAGGGGACCCTGCAGGTGGGCTCTGGTCTGGCCCTCTGAATAGTTCACAAATATGAAGCCGTCTTTCTCATCCAGACTGAGCTGATCGGACCAGCGCCTGGAGTCGTCGGAGCCACTGTCATTGCACCAGGCAGCAGTTGCTCGGCAGGAAGCTGCCCGGGGCCTGTGGCTGGTGCTGCTGGGCTGGCTGGGAGCGTCCTTTGGGTCCTGGCTGATGCTTGGCTCCTCAGCTTCTGAGTCACTGCTGTCCTCGTCTTGGGCTTCCTGCCCTGGGAAGCATCGGGAGAAGTAGTCAGACCCAGCTTTGTTCCACCAGATAAGTCACTGTAGACATAATATTTGAAGTGTAACAAAAAAGAAAAATGCTGGGATTTTTGGTTAGAATAAAAAAAAAAAAAAAAAAAGGCAGAAGTTCTGAAAGAATTTGGGGAATACGTTGGTCAAAATCCATAGTTTGGCTCTTTATCTTATATAATCTGTCTCAAACCTGCCTTGGCCTTGTGCTCTCCAGCAAGGTCCAGCCAGGCAGAGCCCGGCAGGTGCGCTCCGCGCAGGCCTGCCCCCAGACAGTGAGGTCTGCCACTGGCCCTTGGCCCTGCCCAGGCCTATCTTTCTGATCTCTTTGGGTTCCAATGTTACCCAAACATTGGAACCCTTTTAAGGCACAGTTTAAACACTACTTTCTCTAAAATCTCACCCCAAGTGTCTTCAGCTGAACATCTATTTTCTCCCTCTTCTAGACTCCTCTGACACGTGAGCTGCAATCTGAGTTGTATTTAAGTTACATCAGTTTTGAGCACAAATGGCAATATGGCCTTGTGACACATATTAACTTACACATCTCTGGCACACTGACTACCACAGTAGAAAAAAAAATTCTTTCCCTTGGGGCCACAGTGTTTTACTAGGTCAAGAGACATGTGAGTTATACATGCTTCATGAGGCCCTAGGCTCAAAACTAGCATGAATTAAATACAACTCATATACAGCAGTTAATGTGCTTAGCCTAATAAAACACCCTGGCTCCAAGAAAAAAATTTTTTTTCTAGTTGGCAGTCAATGTGTTACTTACTAGTTCTGTGCCTCTTGTGTTCTTGAAATACTCGCCCTAAACAATGACTTTTGGACATTCTTTCTACAGGACAGTAGAGGGAAGCTTGAGAGAAGGGGCCCTTGCATACAGGAGTTAAGAAGTTAAGGACTACAGATATGAGTGAATTATTGCTGAAAACTTTAATTTAGGATTTTATTTTTCTTTCTCTTGCCCTTGTTAGTTTGCCTTTTCTCACATTAACTCTCCACTCCCTTGGAATAAAGTCTCCGGGGGAAGATTCATGAGGAACAAGGACAGCTGGCCCTCCCTATCAATGGGTTCTGCATCTGCGGATTCGACCAACTATGGACTGAAAGGTTTGGGGGAAATGCTGTGGTCTACTGCTGTACTTTCTTTTTCTTGTTATTATTCCCTAAACGCCACAGTATCACAACAATTTACACAGCACTGACATCATTATTAGGTATTGCTGAGATGATTTTAGGTGTATGGGAGGATGTGCCTAGGTTATGTGCAAATTGTGCCTTTTATCAGGCACTTGTGTCTCCTTGGATTTTGGTATCTGCAGACAGTCCTGGAACCAACGCCCTGGGATATTAAGAGACGTAGTATATAAAAAAGGTGAGAAAATAATAATGAGCATGCCCACTCCACATACATTTTATTTTTTTAGACAAATACTTTATTTCCCTGCCTTTATTACCCATTAGGAATGCTGTGGACTAATGTAAATGATGTTTTCACCCCAGTGGCTTACAATCATGATGAACTCTGAGGTTCCCAAATAAGTAGCCTTGGAAATGGCTATGATTTCCCAAAAACCCCTACTTTGTCTACCTTTTCACCCCATCAAGTGCCTTCAAGTCCCATGGCTCCTCCACAGTTCAGAGTCAATCCTTCCTTGTGGGCTGCTGTTCCTCTCTGCCTCTTCTGCCCGACCCTGCCCACAATTTGAGTGCATGAGGAGAAGGAGACATATAAATGTCTCGCTATCCTGAATTTGACGCCTTCTTCTAATTCACTTATTTATATCATGTTCCACTACTACTTACTTAAAAGTTTTGTTCAAGAAAGAAAAGGTGACCCACTTCTCACTGGACCCCTTAAATCAATGTCTGACATATAAACAGGTAACCCCCAAACACTTGTTGAACTGAATTTTTATGTCCCCAAACACCCAGATAACTTATTGGTGGGACTGCAATCAATGATGTAGAAATTTGCATGTCTTAACATAATACAGGTGTTGAAATGTCCTCCCTATGGGATCTTTGCTACTTCTTGGCATGCAAAGTAAAGACTATTTTCAGCTTATAAAGAGAAGTGAGAAGAGAAGTGTCTTGTATCTTTCCAAGTTTCCCTCAGTAACTCCCTTGTATCATTAAGTAACACTGAATTCTTGGTGTACAAAAGTTAATCATGGACAGAGGACCTGATGGTCACACTTCTTAGAAAGTCCCTTACGCACCCTGGGAGCAGCTTCTCCGGAGATGGGTAATGCAAAGCAGATCTCAGGTCTGCTTACCGTTCTCAGTCACTCCAGATATGAATCAAAATCTCTGTGTTTCACTCAAAAATTTTAATGTGCTTCTCAAATAATAGACAATGGCCTAGGTCACTAGGCTTCAGTGCAAATTCATGTTATACATGAGCAGGCTGGGGTGGGCACTCTGAAGGTGGACTCTGGTCTGTCTCTGTCAAGAGCCCATGAACCCGAGGCCACTCTATGAGCCACACTGCACTCACTGGGCACGCAGAGGGCAGGGGTGACGAGGGACTGGGGCGAACAGCTTGTGTGACTCATCCCACACCGAGCCCCCCAAATCTGCTCTGTATTTTCAGAAGTGAGAGCCCAAGCCTTCAGTACTCTCAGAAGCAGTACTGTATTTAGTATGAAGAGTGGAAGTCAACAGATGCTACTGCCGTGAATGGTGTCCCGTGGGCGGGAGGAAACCTTGCGTGTCTGCCCAAAGGAATCATGGGACGGGCAGTGCCCAACCGCAGGCTCTTGTTCACGGTGTTTAGTGTAAGTTTACCCACAGTGATGCTTAAAAAAAGGAAATATGAAAACGACTGATAATTTCATAGAGAGCATTGAGTACCTATTTGTGCTTCTGGACAGTCTTCCTGCATTTCTAGGACTTCAACAGGCTCAGGAGCTGGTGTTTCAGGAACTTGCAAAAATTCCATTCTCCAAAACTAATTTAAGTAAGTATGAAAATAAAATAGTTAAAGGAAACAATTTACACATTACTGAATGAAGATGAGCTCTCAGGGTTAAATGGATAACTTAATTTCTATTATTGTGTACAATTAAATTTCCCAGTATCTTGGAAAATGTGGCCAAGGACTGCCTACATGTCACAGCTGTTTCGAAGGAGAGAGAGAGGACTGCAGTCAAATAAGTCTAAAAACAGGTTTCAACTAAGTGAACTTTGTTTCCTCCAAACACCTTTCAGACTCTTGCATACACTAATATAACTGAGGTCTCTAAGAAGGCACAGAGGAAGCAGAATCCCACGCTCCTGTCATAGAGCTCTTTCATAACCTTTCACAGGTGTGGCAATGGGAAAGGCTGCTCTCCAGCATGCAGGCCTGGGGACAGGGGTGTGCAGCCCGTGCTGTCCACCTGCTGTCTGGGGCACAGGGTGTGGTGAGCGGATGGGCTCACAGCCTCGCTGTCTCAGCATGTGACCATACTGAGGAGGGTGGCAATCAGCTACTCTTGGCCTTCACAAAGAACACAGCTGAAGGAAAACAGGCTCAAGAAAAATCTCCTGAAACAGAAAACCTCAAAGGCTTAAACAGACTACAAAGGTAAATCACCCTGTTGACTTTATTTTCTGCAAGGCCTACCGCAGAAATCTAAGAGAAGGAGAAACTACATCGAGGCTCCAGTGCAATCAGCTGAATCCTCGCCAGGGAACAGGGCTGGGAGCATGTGTAAGCTCCGAAAGTCTCTGTGTGAAAGAGACTATTCTGGCTTGCTGTGTTTTCCTTGAGAAGCCACCTGACAAGCCGAAAACCCAACACTTAATGCAGTTTGCATTGTTAGCAATCCCAGTGGACCATGGGACTCTGTGTAATCGGGCTTCCTGGGTCAGGCTGTCAACTGGTTAGGAGCACCAACACATCTACCAGACAGGAAGAAGGGAGGCCAAGTCACGTGATGCCCCTCACGTCTGATAATACACTGGCCAAAGCTTGTTTGAATTGGAGCAAGAGTGGGCCTAACAACATGATAAACTGTTTAGGTGTGTTTGAACTGTAGACAGGTGCAAATTTCAGGTACACCAGGGCAACAAATATCCTAATGAATTTTTCTTTCAACTCACACGAACCACTCCATCTGAGTGCCCTGTCACGATGACATTCTGTGTGTCCCACTCGTTCATCTCGGACACACAGCAGCAGACGATGTGCTGGCTCCCCCCTGTGAATGTGTTCACGCTCATGATGGGGTTCCCGTTAATGCTCCACACGTGGATATAGGTGCCAGCACAGGACACAATGTCCCCCTGGGAAGATAAAGAGAAGCTCTTCATTCTCTTTGCTTCCTGCATTATGATATTCTGGCTTCAAATGCAAGCTAAATCCTGTGCCTTGCTTTTACTCTTAGACTCTGGGCTGGCTGAGTGACTTCTGAGTAAGCTGGCATGCAGCCAGTGCTTGCTGAATTAAAAAAATACCCTAAACAGAGGCTTCTTTAAGAATTCAAAGGTGACTGGGAACTGTGGCAACAGGGATCACAGAGGGAGAATAGAGGTAGGTTTATACCCCTGGCGTGCTGCAGAGCGAGGTCTGATTCCACAACAAAGCTACCTGTAATCTGAGGAGCTGCTGGGCCACTCTTCTTCCTCCTATGGTTCACAAGATCTATTTATATCTTTCATTTAGGCAGGAATCCACCTGCTCTTATAAAATGAGCCCAACTACTGAAACTACAGGGTGGAAGAGAAAAACTTCAGACTAAATATAGTTGTGTCTCTTCAATAAATGAAAAGATAAAATCTTGGTAACACTGTAATATCCTCTTCTAAAATGTGTATTCCCAACAGGGGTGGAGAATGTGGACCAAAACGAGACTGGGACATGGGTCACTTCTTGACAAACCTAATAAACCCTAAGATTCCCTGAGCTAATAACTTTTTTCATGAATTCCAAGTGTAGAAAAGAACAAGCTTTTTTCTCAGTTTCACCAGGCCGGGCTCTATCCAACCTGATGAGAACACAACCCACTACTGCTAAAAAGAAGCTTCTCCTGTAAGCCAGTTACTGTGCGGGGCACCTCTGACCTTCCACTAACCCTGAAACATCCTTGGGAGGTTAGTTATAACCAGACCTGTGTGGAAGGACCAAAGTGAGGGGCAAAGAGCTTAAGTAGTATGATTAACAGCAGAGCCAAGATCTGAAGCCAGCTCTCTGTAGCCCCAAAGCTCATTGGCCACACGTGCTTCCCCTCTTATCCCCAGGAGAGCTTGGTTGTCAACTGTGGGCACCAGTCTCAGAGAAGGATTGGGGGAGTTCAGTGTAGTCAGAAGACACGTGAGGACCTACAGGAGATGCCAGCAAAGGCAGAGGGAGAACGAGATGTCCAACAGCAGCACCAGTCCAAGAAGGAAGGTAAGGGGGGAGGGGGAGTGGGATGAGGATGATGAGGGAGGGGGTGGGGGATGAGGAAGAGGATGGGGGATGAGGAGGGGGATGAGGGAGGGGTTGGGGGACGAGGAGGATGAGGGAGGGATGGGGGATGAGGAGGGAGGATGAGGGGGGATGAGGAGGAGGACCGGGCTGGTTCCTACCACTACCTGCACTACACTGTCCTTGCTCGTCCTGCCTCTGCTCCTCTTCCTGTCCCTTCCCCAGCTCTTCTACTAAGATGGCAAGAACTAAACCAAAACTCAAACACAAACAACACCTAGCAAAGCATCACTTGGTCTCCCTGTGTACTGGTCACCAAATCATCTGTGACTGTGAGTGTCAGCAGGTAAGTTTTAACTAGGGCTTTACTCTCAGCCAGAAACAAGAAACAGCAACTCCATTCTGAACCAGCAAGACTTTGTGTAGTTACTTAGGTTGGGGCGGGCGGGTGCTCCATCAGAGAGCATTCCAGCAGACCAAGGGTTATGAGGGCTGAGCTGTAAGAACTACTGAAGGGTGGCTGCAGGCAGCATTGGTTCAAAATACAAACTGAAGCAAAGCTGACTTGATATTACTGGGAGAAACATAATGGAAAAAGAAATGCTTTCTTTTTTTTTTT